GGCCTTTTGGTTACTTTGAACCCCCACTCACCTCAAGCGCTCAAATAATGATTCCAAAAGATGAAAAAGTTTATAAAAGAGCGAATCTTTCTTTCATTCTAACTCCCATGCACAAAGTATTCATGAAGAACATTTGATACACTTTAATAAACTTTAACGTCTAATGATGAAAATATTTTGCAGGTCTCCTTGAACTACTCAAGTATAAGAATTGTATTCCATTCACATAAGGAAAACATTACATATTTTCATTAAATCAAGAGTTGTTTATTGCGCTTAAACAATCCCAATTTTTATGAAAATAACAAACAAACACCAAGACATAAACAATCACTCTATAACGAATCTTAAAGAAAACGTTCGACTTATGTGGCTAAGAAGATCATTTACCTTAAAATTTTACAAAACACAAGTCACAAAAAAGATTCACGTATGAATTCGAAAATCACTTAACTAAAATATGTAGCTAAATTAGCTTCAATGATAACCGAATTCGACATACCAACCTACTTATGAATTCAAATTTATAATTCAACCAATTTAACTTCAATTTGCGCAAAAATTGAAGAAACTAGTAAGAATCAATTTTCATTCATAAGGGATTTAATATAAACATTCAAAAAAGAACATACAAGAAAAATGAACAAAAACATTTTTTTTATTTTCAATTTGTTTAACAGGAACAAGCTTACATAAAGCAACACTTTAACAAAGAAATCTACAAGAGGGAAAAAAAACAAGGAAGACTTCCGGATTAATTCCGGAAGCATTTTATTTGGTTACCTAAAAGAAGAAGATGAAAAGTTTAGAAAATTGGAGCTGTTGTGGTTCGTCTCCCCCTCCACCTGCTGTGATTCCTTGCCCAATTTATAGGCCGGAGGAATTCTTCCCATTGTTGATTTGAGAGAGTAGCGTAGAAGAAACCGTTGCTTACTTGGTCAGAGGCGGAATTGTTGGCCGAACGTTAGAGCATTTGATTTGAAGATTGAAGTCACCGTTCGGTTACTCATCGATTTTGAATAGATTTGAATGATTCATCGCTGATTTCTTGCTTCAATCTGAGACTTGGTTGCAATTTGACTTCACCGTTTCTCTGCTGCTGTGTTGTGCCGTGTTGACTGAGATGCTGGGCCGAATTTACTGGCTTGTTTGAAGACCACGAAGGAGCTGAAATTTGGGGCTGACCGAGATGCTAATACTTTAAGGTTTGGGTTTTGGCCCAAACATAATCTTCTTTTCCATTCGGCCTTTTCCCACCCTTTTCTTCAAAAAATAAGATGTTTGATAACTTGGGTTAGGAAAAATAAAATAAAAATAATAGAATGTAAAAGGAAATGATTAAAAAACTACTATTTATGAAAGAAAATTAAAAGATCGTAAAAATAAGAATTAAAATAAAACTAAGCTAAACAACTAAAAATTAAATACTAAAAGTATTAAAAATGCCTAAAAAAAGAATAAAAAATACTAACCCAAAACCGACTTATCAATCCTATATTCCCATTGTCTCAAAACTATGACATTTTTAATCAAATTTATATAGATTTTGACCATTAATAAATATAGACATGGATAGTCTGGAGGGTCTGCAAAGTGTCGCACAGGGCCTCCAAATTTTTTACTCCAATAATTATATTGTCAGATTTTCATTATTCTAATTAATTACTTGATATTTTTAAATTTAACATAAACTTATATTTTAATTTTTAAATTGTTAAAAAAAGGTTATTAAAAATCAAACTTAGCACTAATTTTAAAACATTAGTACCTTATTAAAAAATAGGGTCCAACACGTGAATTTTAATTTGTACAAGACCAACCCCATTAAAATTTATGCAAAGTCCGAACTTTATACTCCCCACATCTCATGCAAAAACAATTACATGAAGTTTGATCGAAATTATTTTATTAGATATTTTTTTTAAAAAAAAGAGATTTCAAATCAAAGTCTAATTTTGGCTTCAATTTTCTCATAAAAACATATGGTAAGAATTCTTTAGGTATCTCACACTCTTTTAGAGACATTCTTTGCCAAATTGTTTGGAATAGAGTTTGTTTTTTGCGCCTTACTTCGAACCTACCTGGATCATTTAATATTAGAGGCAACTCGCATCTCTTTTTGATTGTTATATTTATTTAAAGTTATTTTTAATTTAATTTATTTTAGAACTGGTTTAAAATTTAAAAAGCATAAATATATATTGGGACTGTTCCTGCTCTCACTCCAAATGACATTGTCAGCTTTAAATCAAATTCTAACAAATTTGTTTTTGGTCACCTTCCAAAAAGCCTCATACTAATGAGGTTGAGTAACCATATTTATTTTGGTCACATTTCTCCTCTTCTTCCGGTGTGGGGGAGTTTGCAACCCAACAAACCTTCACTCAAACTAACGACCACACAACTCATGACTTCCCCTTCAGCGATTGTCCATTTTAATCTGCCACCATCTTGCACCGCCACGACAAACTTGCAGGACACGCCGCCCGACCTTCTGTCGGCAACACTTTCGACGCAAGGAATACCGCAGACCACCAATCTTCTAAGGTCACACTTTTGATCAGCCAATTCATCTTAGGGTCCGCATGGACAACTCAATTGGGTCTCACCAGCGATAGTGAGGGAGCAGCCTCTCAAAAAAACGAGGGAAATTCCTTGTGCATAGGGAGTACTTAGCTGCCGATTGAGTCACCATGATTTACATCATCTCATAATCTCGTTCCACAAGAGACGTGGGAGGGAGCGATTTTGCTTTTGAAACAAGGCTAAATAGCTCCGGTGCCCCTGTGGTTTGAAAAATTGGCACCAATACCCCCTCTATTTTCAAAACTTATTTCTAAAGTCCTCGTGGTTTCAAAATGCTGCACCCGTGCTCCCTCTGATCATTTTCCGGCCATTTTCCGGCAAAGAGGGAGCATTTGCGCATAATTTTCAAACCATAGGGGGTATTCGTGCTCATTTTTTATTTTTCGTTTATTATTTGTATTTTTCTTTTTTAAATTATTTTCTATCTCTTTTTTCTTTTCCTAGTTTTTTTCTAATTTATTTTCAATTTTTTATAATGTTTTAAAATTTTATTTTTTTTTTGAAATAAAAATAAAAGTAAAAAAATTAACATACATTGCATCTATTTGAAATTAAACATTTTCACTTTTTGTTACGTACTTATTTGGAAAGTTCAAAAAAAAACCTAGAATAAAGAAATAAAAATATGGAAAAATAAAATGAAAAATAAAAATACACAAAAAAAGTCTGATACAATAAATGGACAAGCCCAATGTCATGGGAACCAAGGCGGCCTAAAAAAGTCCTTAGAATTGAGATGTTCGAAAAAGATATTCATTTTTATTTTTCTATTATTTTGTTTCTTATTATATTCATCATTTTTTTTGAAATTCTTCAAAAAAAGTTTACTTTTTTCAGAAAAAACAAAAATTGTTGATTTGAGAAGTACATATACATTATATGTTAATTTTTCAAACAAAAATAACTTTAAATTTTATGAGCATTATAAACATAATTTAAAAAAAACCTTTATTAATAAAAGTAACAAATAAAGGAAAAAATGGGAAAAAAAAAAAAAAATAAGCGAGAAATAAATATCAGCACCGATACCCCTTGTGGTTTAGTAAATATGCAGCAATGCCCCCTTCTTCGCCAGAAAAATGGCCGGAAAATGATCAGAGGGGCACGGGTGCAACATTTTGAAACCACAAGGACTTTAAAAATAAGTTTTGAAAACAGTTTTGGTGCCTATTTTGCAAAGCACAGGGGTACTGGCGCTATTTGGCCTTTGAAACAAGGAATGAGTATTTGGGAAGGTACCAAGAAATTTGATGCACAGAGTAATTATGGAAAACATTTAATCATCGTAATAGTTAGCGTTGAATTAGGAACAGAGTGACATAAGTATTTTGGGACCTACAGGGGCACGCTGGTAATAAATCGCGGAGTGAATAGCGCGCTATGTAATTAGTATAATTTCTGCCCGGAAGAAAAACATGGGCCTTAAAACGAGTGAATTAAAAATTGATTGAAAATTGGGAGTATAAACTAGTGTACAGTAACGTTTTCTAGTCTTTTAGAGTTATAAGCGTAAATTATTAAACATAAGAGTGATATAAACAATAGATTATAATAATATTTGGTCAACAAGATATTTCCGATTTGAAAGAAATTGGATTCTTGAATTTTGAACAAATGGCTCACTATTTTTCTTTATTATTCATATGGTCAAGTTTTATCAATTTTATTAGCCTATTTTCAGTCAAATATCGTAGAACGCAACAAATAGTTAGTTTAGGCCTGAGGGAGCACATGATTTCAAAATTTGGGAGTCCCAAACAAGAGTGATGCTTATATGGTTTCAATATTTAAAATGTGGATCTTCTTATATTTTCATGGGTTTACATGCAAATATTTTTTTCTACAAAATGTCCACTTCTTATATGCGGCAAATTCTTCAGTAGACATAAGGTCTATGGTTATTATATGGAACTTAGTGTATTTGTAGTATAAAAGAAGTAAGCTTTAAAAAAAATCAGATACAAACTCATGAAAAATGTTAAAAGGTACACATTCTAAATATAGATCTTGTTGTATTTTCCTTTCTATTTCAACTTTTTGGTTCACTTGTTAAAAGAAAATGGGCACATGAAGGCGAATTGGGCACATTCTCATAAATAAATTAACATTTTCAAGAGTAGCTAGCATTGTTCCTAAACAATCTCACATTCTTTAATATGAACCAAACATTCTTATGGTCATTGATTTATTCATACCAATACACTTCAATCTAGTACTCGGCAACACTTTTCAACACACTCCTAGAACACATACTCTGTATCATTTACATGACATTTTTTTTTGTAAAGGAAAGAGGACAAAAAAATGCATAATAATGAAGAAAAAAAGTCAACATATAAGGGGGGCCATGCCTGAAATTGAGCCGACCTTGTGAAAGCCAAGCAATGGTTACCCCTGATTTGGGGTTAATGATTGTATATTTGGTTGACAAAATGCTCACTTACACACGAGATATAGATAGGGAGAGTCCGTACAACAATTTTTTGGAAGTATTTCACTAAATTACACTTGACTGATTGACTATTTACCACTCCCTCTCCCAATTCATTCTTTCAATTTGAATGAATGTGCAAAATTTCATGTCTTTTAGAATGATTTTTATTCACAAACTAGTATAAAAATAAAAAAAATGTATATTAAATTATTTGAAACCACACCAAGAGTTCTATAAAATAAGATGAGACTGAAATATTTTATTTTATCAAGTCGTCACTCGCAAACATAAATTATCGAGACATCATAATGGTAACTGAAACGGAGTGAACATTACTCATAAAATACGAATTATAACCTACAAATTAACCTCTAGAAGTGCTTTTGAATAAAGTGAAGCAATTGGTAACACTTTTAGGGTCATGCAGTGAAAAACGGGCTTCACGACACGGGCCTTTATTTTTTCATGTAGTTGAACACTATGAACAAACTCTTGGGCCTTGACAACATTGGGACAGTTGGGCCTGACTATTTCTAAATACGGAATATTAAATAATGTACGGAGAGATTTCTCTTGCAGAGGTTTTCATTCTAGCAAAAAAATTCACAAGACTTTCAAAACATCAACACTAAGATGGATAGAATTTGTTCATTCTTGGAATGAATATTTGAATAAATAAAAAAGTCTCGCAATTCGATATTAACTATAATGAATACTGGTACATTATGATGCTTAAGAACTAGTGCTGCTAAGAATCGGCAATGGTGACTTCAACCTCAACCCCAGGTTCAATGGTGATTGAGGTGATCTGTTTCACGACTTCGGGCGAGCTGAACAGGTCAATCACCCTCTTGTGCACCCGAAGCTCGAACCTGTCCCATGTGTTTGTACCTGTTTGTTTGGAAACAGTTCAAGAATGTCGGGTCACTAACAACGGATTCCAAGATATTGTGCAAATGCCCAAAGGGTACTTCACTCTAATCGAGACTAAATGGAGTCTTAATTACTCCCTACGTCTCGATTTAATTGTCCACCTTGTTTTCGTGTGTCTAATCTTAAGATAGAGTATGAGCATTGTTGACATGAATCAGTGCCAAACTCATTCGAAGGACTCATTCAACATTTTAAACTCAATTCTTAAAAAACCTGTTGATTTATATACTCCGTATACACACACACCCCGGAGTAAATATATATTACCTTCTCCACAAGGAGACTTCCTAGTGGTGATATGGAGAACTTTGGTTGGGATCCTCACTGGCCCCTTAACCCTAAGTCTTTTGTCCTTGGCACCTCGGACCAAATCAGAGCAAACTGTTCAATACATAAATCAACAGAAAAAAATTGACTGAATACAATAGTCATACGGAGTACATTAGAAGCAATAGGAAGGAACACCAAGCTTAACAATCTTGTGCAGTTATAGAGTATAGAAGCTGTAAAAATGTATAATGATCTCATACAAGCCATGTAAAGTACGGAGTATTAATAATAAAAAAGCAATCAAAAGATTTGATTTCACTTTTTTTTTCATATCATTTTTTTTTTTAAAAAAAACTTCTTTGGAAAACAACAAAATCAATAACTAACAATCCATGGCATTTTCAATTATATAATCGGTTAAGAGTAATAGAACGAGATCAAGAACCTTTCTCAAGGTTATTTACATCCTTGGAAGAGAGGGTGATTCTGATTTTATGGTTCTGCTCATGGGGCTCCTCCATCCCCGGCTTTGTGGGCTTCATTGTTGCGTATGCCATTCTTTCAATATGCTTGCAGCAGAAACCTAAATAATTATATTACCAGTTCAACGAACACAATAGAAGTTCTAGAAAACTACAGTCTATCTGTATCAAATTCAAAAGATGACTTAAAAATAAAAACTAATGCAGTCTCATTTGTCAATAATGCCGCCAAATCTGAATGAAGAACCCGTAACAAACATAATTGCATACTTTGAAACGCCCTTCAAGGGGGTAGTCCAATGCTATGTGTACACCACCACATTTGACAACACCATTCCGATAGACATTATTTATACATCTGACATTGTTTCGTGTTTGTGAATGTCTAATACACGTAAGAAAAGGGTGATGTCAAAAGTGGTGTATCCAAAGCACAATTCATTAAAAATAGTCACTTTTCCACAAGAAGAGCGCAGCATCAGTACATAAAATTACAGTATATAGCATTTCTCTACGCGTCTTAATTCTTAAAACAGCAAAAACGAAAGTAAACAAATAAAAATGAAGCAAGTGATAATCCGGCCCGTCATAATAATATCTGTAGAGTGGATAATTGAGATTCGAATAGTTCTAACAAACTATACATCTGAAGTAGCATTGATGATGAAAACATCTAACGTTTGTGTTTCCGATCTGTGTGGTCAAGTTTCTAATTGTTCAGTAAAGAAATTTGATAGTGGCGGAAGCATACCTGAATTCGGAAGAACGGCGAGCGGCGGTGGAATAGGCGGCCGAAGGGAATGGCACGCACACACTCTCTCTCTCTCTCTCGATCAGTGGGAGGTTGCGCGTTGTAGAAAGTAGAAAGAAACTGTGATTTTGGTCACCTTCTTTTTTGGGCTTGAGTCCAAAATTAGACACAAGAACCGGCCCAATTGCTTCCTTCCTATTTTGTGGAATTTAAAAAAATCTTAAATGATAATGGAGTAGTTTTTTTTTATAGAGACGAAAAATAAATAAAATATGATTATATGAACTGTAACTATTTTTATGACATAGAACTAATTTAAATTTAAGAAATACAATATGACTATAATACTTCCAAATTTGAATTTTCTTGTGAGAATTTCTTAATACTCTGTATAAAGTATCCTTTGTATTGAGCTACTCTAAAAAAACTGGTATTTCTTTATTTTTTTCAAAAAAAAATATCTGTTTTATTGATATATTTAAACCATTTTTTTAAATAAATCATACCCGTACAGTTATATATCTTTAATAATTCTATTAAATCAAATCAAAACCAGAAGTTATTAATGTGAATGTGGATAAGCCATAAATTTAATATGAATCACATTTCAAAAAATGATGGCTCCGAGATTATCTGTGATCAAATAGAACAAGCTTAAAAGTGTTCAAGCTTTACCACATAACTGTAATAAATAAACTTGATCGAGATCACAAATGGTTTGAAGAAACTCTATTTTCTTTCAAAGAAAAAAATTGTATGGTTGGTTTCTTTCTGTTATTTTTAAAATATGGAGTAAATTTCTAACTCCACAATTTCATTTTCATAAGAATTCCGTGGAAAAACCAATCCAAAAATATAGTTATGGTCAGACAGAAGAGAGACATGAGAAGAAGAAGAAGAAAAGTGTTAATAAAAACATCCACTTAGCATTAAACATTATACACACATGTTTTAATGAATAAAGCGCACCACAAGTACTTCTGGATCCCAAAGGTTGAAAGAAAATGTTCATCAGACTACTAAAATCCAAATACAATTAACACTTAAACATCCAACATATGCGAATTTTTCACCCAAAACAAAAAAAAAGAACTGAAAGTCTGTTTGAAACTGCCCTTCACCACACCACACAAAAGATTTAAAGTCTGTAGAAGGAAGCAAACTAACAGCTCAACCAATCCATTCAAGTTACCCCTAAAACCGGGTGTTGTGCCTGCAATTGAAGAGTTCCGAGCATACAATTTCATGTCAGTATAAAGGCAGTATTATATAAATGATGAATATGTTAGATACGGGTTGTGCTATTAAAGAGATAATGAGTTAAAGTTGCATAATGCTATATGGGTTTATGAGACCCGCCAAAATTGAGTTAAGAAACCCAACTTTGAGAACACCATTGAAGATGTTCTAAGTTGGAGCCGAGGTTCTGGCAAAGCCATGATCCTAAAGGGCACTGCTCATTCAAAGTTTAAAATCGGCATAAATTTTGTCCATAAATTCTGTTTAAAACATCTAAACAGAGCTTAGGCTTTTAAGTATAATAACTAGATAAGCTCCTAAATTGTACGGAAGCATTCCTCCTATTTACCAGAAACTATATGCTGAATAGGTTTTCAGTGCTTGTTTACATGATGACAAAGACTATGAAGAACTTTTCTTTGGGCCTTCGTACATATACGAATTGTGCAAATTTCCAGCAAAAAGGAGAAAATTGTTTATAGTGTTTTGAAGTAGGGTACATCATATAGATCCAAAACTTGTTTACCTTCCCCTCCACACAAATGTCAAAACTTTCAAGTTTTCCCCTTAGTCATTAGCCCCAAATAGAAATGCATGGGAAAGAAACGCCAGTAGCATAAAATGTGGCAATCACCAGTATATAATTGTTCTGGCTTCTCAAAACAGTCACACACACTTGAAACTACCACAAACAGCACAATGTGTGATCAAATTGTAGAAAAACAAAAGATATCTCATACTAATGTCATGTGCCATGTCACCTATACCTAATAAACCAAGAGTCTTATAACAACATTGGCACTCCATCCTAAACCAAGAAAAGGCCTCAGTCCCACAATCTCTAGACTCTTGCTAACAAAAGAGATAAATCTTTCTGAACTATTAGTCTTAAATCAGATGGCAATGGACTAAATACTCTTAAATCAGATGGCAATGGGCTAAATACTCTTAAATCAGATGGCAATGGGCTAAATACTGAGATCATGACTATAACTCCACAATTTGTCTCAAAAGATATCTCATATTAAATGTCATGTGCCATGTCACCTATACCTAATAAATCAAGAATCTTATAACAACATTGGCACTCCATCCTAAACCAGCAAGGCCTCAGTCCCACAATCTCTAGACTTTTGCTAACAAAAGAGATAAATGTTTCTGAACTATTAGTCTTAAATCAGATGGCAATGGGCTAAATACTGAGATCATGACTATAACTCTTGTCCACGAATCCCCACAAAGTATTTCACAATGTTTTTTTGTTTTTGAGATAGGCAAACACATTTAGAAAGAAAGGAAAACACAGAAATATAGGATAGTGAGACTGATAATTTACTAATTGCGATTTGCAAAAACAATAGAAGAATCTGCAAAGATGTTTGTTCAATTTCCTCACGACTAGGATCCCCGCAGCCGAACAAATGACTATTCCCAACTAAAGAGTCAACACCATCATTCAATCAACACCAAATTGGTTTCTTATTTACCAACAAAAGAATCTTCCTAAAATGAGGTTCATACTTCAATCGTCCAGGCATAATATCATCCAGACCTATGTATTTCAACCTAATATTTCCATTCCAGCATTTTGACGAAATTAACAATCATTTAATCATCGAATGAGGCAGTGCAATAGTTCATTACACTACTGCAAAAACAGATCGCAGCTAAGGATAAATGGAGAAAACTACCAAATTGTGGAGCAATTATAAATTATAATTATAATAAATTTGATCGAGGACTGAGAGACTCACATGGGGGGAAATCACTTGGCAACCATGCGGGCAATGAAGTCCTCGTAGCGGAGCTTGCCGTCGGATCCAACATCAACCTCTCGGATCCACTCATCAAACTCCGCCGGATCGAGCTTCTCGCCGATGCTGGTGAGGATGTGCCTGAGCTCCGAAACCACAACGTAGCCGGTGGAGTCCTTATCGAGGACCTTGAAGGCGTCGCGGAGAGGACGGTCGAAAGGCTCTGGCTTGAGATGCTTGTGCATGAGGTCGAGGAACCGGGAGAAATCGAAGGGCGCGTTGAGCTTCTCGTCGGCGATGATGGCTTTGAGTTGGGCCTGCGTGGGGTTTCCGCCGAGTGACCTCATAAGGATACCGAGCTCCGACGGCGCGATCTTGCCGTCGCCGTCGGTATCGAAGAGCGTGAATGCCTCCTTCATGGAGGATTTTTGATCGTCGCTCAGATCTTTCCCCATTTCTCTCTCTCTCTCTCTCTCTCTCTCTCTATCTTTCTCTGGGCGGAAATCTTCGGTGGATTATGCGATTAGAAGAAATGAAAATTGGGGGTGCGAATGCAATTCAAATAAATAAATAAAGCTTTCTATTAACCGTTCATAATTGGTTAGTTTATTACAGAAATATGGATTAATTATTTATTAATTAATTAATAGTTGAATGAGCTAATGACCTTTTGTTTCATTGGAATCAGCTCAATGGAAGGATTTTTTATTTCCTAAAACTATGAATGTTTTTAGTTAAATACTTCCCTATCACAAATGAAAATACATGCATTTGTATTTTACATGTATAGTGCTTAAATACATTTATTTCACGCCTTCTATTTTTTTTTATAATTCATTTCTATTTTTTCCAATTTTTTATTTCTTCAAAGTTCTTTTCAATTTCTTTCTATTTTCTTCCATTTTCTCCAAAATTAACATTAAAAAATATTTATATGTATTCTTTTCTTATTGTTCTTATTACAACTACAACCACCATCATCCCCAATTGGAATATGATAATGTCACACTTTATATTAAAAAAATAAATTTCATTTACAATTGTAGAGTCAATAAGTAATACTCCGTATTAAAATGATAAACTAATCATTTTATTACTCCGTCTGTTTTAAAAAAAGAGTTTTCATGTTAACTGTTGATAGGGGATGATCTTTACAACTTTTTCGATGACTAACAATCAAAGTCAGCATCAGAAATTGAGTAATTCATGAATGTTATTGTTGCATCTAGATTCTAGAATCCCAAGAAACTAATCAAATTATAGAAGACTCCAAGGCCCACTTTTGGCTTGGAGACATTGGCCAACACCAATAACTAGCATTTAGTAATATCATTAGCCAACTAAACTAAAACTAAAATTTTAGATGCTTCTCATATGCAGCTTTTCTAACTGAGCCATTATCTGTGAGGCCTTTACTCTGTCAAAGCCAACTTGCTTGAGAATACAATCACAAAAAGATGACTCTGCCGGATCAACACTTGATCTACTAGCAACCTCTTTGTTCAAATTGGTCTTAAATAAAGCCACAATTGATCTACAAACAACCCCTTCGTCCAAGAGTACCTCAAATGCTTCCTCCAAAGCCTACAAAACATGAAATAATTAAACAACAACAACCTAGTTGAATCCCACTACAGTAGGGTCAGGGGAGGGTGTGTGTACGTAGACCTTGCCCCTACTCGGAAGTAGGGAGGCTGTTTCCAAGAGACCCCCGGCTCCAACAAATGAGATAAATATAACCAAAAGTGGCATTACAGCCCACAAACAATTACTCGTAAACAAACCTTGTCAAAAATTGTGTGGCCGTTGAAGTAGTCCGTCACATTATCCATAAACTTGCGGTATAGCTTTTTTAATTCCAAGGCAACAATCTGATGTGGAAGAAAAAGTTAAACCAATCAATAAGTAACATACACAGCCCTTATTAAAACAGAAGCAAAGACAATGCAAGATATTATGCAAACGAAGGAGTACTTTGAGAGAACATTGAAGTGTAATATGCAACATATGCACTACGATAATAAGGCCTCTGCAGTGAGAACTAAGGAATTTGTGGTCAAACTAGCCTGGGAGGCAATTAGTACTTCTGAAATGTATACTTGATGATGCCAGTGAATAGAGATATCAAAAGATAATTTCAATAATAACTGTACAAGAAAGCTATACATGGTGCATCGTAATATCTTTTTCCCACTGGATTAAGGCTTTCCCCTCATCAATGATATGCTGCAGGAAGAAATACATCATTAGGGGGGCTGAAGAGGGGGTTGTGCTGAGAAGGAGAGCATATAACGTAGTTGAAGGCAACTATACCTCTTTGAAGATATTTGCAATAGGATCTAATCCCATGGTAACATCATCATAAAGCCTGAACATCGTCTTGAGAACTTCCATCTGCAACGGTTACCACAATGATAACATAACACAAAGTGTTACATGGTTATATTGCCCAAGCTTGCATGCCAAGAACAACTTTGCCTAGGCTTTTTAATAATATTAGCTGCTTTTAAATTTTCCAGTGAAAAGAGGGGAATGAATGAGACAATGAGTAAGGATGCAATAAAGGGCTGCCAGGGCAAATTCTTTACCTTGTTCTTCTTTAGCAATGCATGGCAACTAGAATGCTCATTCTGAAGCAACTGGTTTTGGTAAATCAACACCAACTCATTTCGCACTTCCTGTGCATTCAAAGGTGCAATCAGGCAACAACTAAAAACATTCATAAGAAGACTCTCTTACAAACCATGGCTAACCAATATTCAAATGAAATGTGTCTAATGCGAGACTCAATTAAGATAGAGGAACTAAAATTAATAACCTCCAAATAGTTGTGTTTGCCACTTGAATACAAGTAATATTCCACTCTAAGCTTCTCTTTCCTCAAACATTCCTCACACTGTACAGGTAAAAATAAGGTCATGCTTAAGTGTTAAAAGTAAGGAAATTTCCAGTCTTCCAGAGTAAGAATGGAACGCAGATTTCCAAAACATCCTTCACCTTCAACATGTATTCTGGACATAAATATGCATCTTTTCCCAACTTGTCTTCATAGTAATCCATTATTTTCATTCCAAATTGAAAACAAATTTCAACGACACCCCTCAACAATGCTCCATCAACTTTGCCTCCTTCTCTTTCTGAAGCAATCTTTAAAAAATAAAAATCAAATATAGGATCAGTTTTACAGTGTGATCAAATTATAATAAAGTCATCATGCAACAACCAAGACCTTACCAACTCTATGGCAGCTCTCTCCACTTTATCAGATATGCCCAAAAAAACCTCATAAAAGAAGAACAGTAATAGCCGATCATTAATTTCAAACTGATGGGGCGATCAGAATAACTAAGATTTCTTCCTCGCTTTACAACAAAAGAACGGAGTTTAGTAGCTAGAATGCTAGATTGAGTCATGAGCCGGCGCAACAAAGATTTAATTACCATATCACGGAAGCAAGTAAGCGCAACTTGATTCAATGTAGGGCAATTCCTCTGATTACGGTCAAGATAAGCGAAGATATGGAGCAACCATTTGGAAATCTGTTTATACCTGGACCAAATCTTGACAAATTCCTCCAACGAAAATTCATCTACTGGTGGCACACCCTAATTAAACAGTACAGTTAGTTGATCATCCACTCTAATTCGAATACTTAATCAGCAAGGCCTAATGTCAAAGAGTCGTTCGCCTTGACTGATGAACATCTCTCTCATCAAATTATATATACGCAAAACATGAATTAAGAATATACATGACGGATAATCGGCTCACCATAGAGTTGATGAAATCTACTGGAACTTGCTTGCACAGGTCGTAGACTTGTAGACGATACTCATCCCCCCCCCCCCAGTGCACAGATTGAATGTTGTGCTGCAATTTATCAACAATTGGACAAAGATATCACCGATTCTGGATGCTAAACAATACTTGAGAATAAGCGACACAGATATAAGGTATGAGGCAATTACGTGTATAACAGCGAGTATTCCTGGGAATTGAACGGTGGCCGCAGCGAAGACGGATCTGCGGCAACTCTCTTCAGGCGTTCAATGCCGTCGTTGATGATCTTCAACCCTTTCTCCACCTCGACTTCGCTTAGTTTAGAACGGGAGCGGAGCGTTGTGCTGGTCATCGTAGTCGTTCCAGCCATGCTTGAGAACGTCGTCGAGATCAAGAGACCTCCCCTATTGAAATATCAAATTTCTTTCGTCTCTGCAAATTGGTAGGTTTTGAGTCGACCATGCTATTTATTTTTAGAATATTTAAATATATAATACTATGGAGTATTTGCATTTTTTACTAAAAAGTAAAATTAATAAAATATCAAAGAATACGTATAAAACCTCTTCAAATATTTTATTTTAAATTTTTAATTACTTTTTAGATTTATTTAACAACATTATGAATTATGTGTATTAAATATGTAGCAGTTTTAAATAAATATAAGATTATTATGTGATACTCTGTATTATTAAAAACTTGTTTGAATATATAGGTTTATACATTAAAATTTTATAATTAAACAAAAAAATAAAATCTTAACCTTATTCTTATTATGTTATTTTTCATATTAAAATACATGATTTGAAAAATAAAATCTTACGTTAGCGGGTCGGTCAGGTCAGATTTGGATCATTTTTAGTGGGTCATTTCGATTTCAGTGAACAAACTGATGAACACCCTGGACATAGGGATATCGGGCTCACCAGGGCCAACAAGCTTTGAGCGTCCTTAGACGCACTCGGCCTATGCAACATAGCCATACTCGACCGACTAAGGGGCAGCCAGGTCTAGTCACAAACTCGGTCGCACTTGGCCCTTGTTAATGCCTCATGCAAGGTACATGACTCGAAGAGGAGCATGTAATTTTCTTATCCCATCCTAAATCACCAAATCCACGATAGACAAACATTCATAAGAAATGCGTACCCGCACAATACGTAATGCATGAATTTGGCACAAGACATTCATTTCTAGTCCCATGAATGTGGGCCACGTGTTCTATAGGCTTGACATGGGCTTTGCCAATTACAAAAGTTTCATGACAAACATAATTTGCATAAATATCTCCCCTCCCCCCTCCCCCCACTTCAAGGGGTGGGACATCAAAATCTTGACTAAGCAATACACCTACTAGTGATATTTTGAGACCTAAGGCACTCTAACCTCCTTTACCAAGTCCACTCTAGGTTTGGGTTCTAAAATCATCAAAAACTTTTTTTCGCCCAAAATTTTCATGTTAGGTCTCAGTTAAAAAACAAATCGGGTCATTTTGTGCGAGGTATATTCATAATCATTGCTCTTGCACTAACCTTTTTTGACGGGCCTAACTTTTGAATTTATAATAAACAGTCACCAATTGCATGAAGCTGATTGGGACAATGCTAGGCGGTTGGGTGTGTATTCTGCTTGTTGTGCAAGAAGGCGTCAGCAAGGATGGAGCGAACACCGCCCCTCTCTAGTGGGATGCGGGACATGAGGGCGGGGATGGCCACACCATTCTTCCCGCTCCATTTTCGATCGTTGCTTTTTTGGGTGTGCAATGATCATTTAAATAATTATTTTATTTATACTCTCTTCCCAACTTCTTCTCTCGTATTTTTTCGTAATAGTCTTATTTGGGAATAACGTTTTCAATTAGCGTTAACGTTTTAGATAAAATTTTAATGGTGTAGATTAATTCTCGAAACGCTAATGCTAAAAGCTAAGAGTCTTTTCAAAAAGCCAATGCTAGTCTCTAACACTAATGTCAAACGGGGCCAATACCTTCTTAATTTCCAAACATTACTTAACATAGTATTTATTATGTAACTTTTTTCCATCTTTCACTATGGATCTATCCCGACCACCGATGTCCCCCTCGACTCTCACCTCTTCTGCATTTGAGAGATTCTTTAATTTTTTTAGCGCGTCATTATTTTTTTATTTGTTTATTTTTATTGTACCTTTTAATTTAATTGTAGATAAATGTTTCATTGAAATTTAAAATTAGTAAATTAAATTGGGAAATTTACCTAAATATGACTAAAACATAATGACTTTTTCAATGTAGGACTATATATTTTTATTTCTCAATGTAGTATCATTAGTCATTATAAATAAATTTCTACCATCACGGAACATTATTCCTCCCACTAGACATTATTAAATAAAAAAATTTAAGTCTTACATAAGAAAATGACTTATATTTTAGTAGGAGTAAATTTTTCAATTAAATTAAGAAATTTCCGCTCTACAGTCTACGCTGCCTTGCCTTCTGTTTCCTTTATCGCACAATCAAATAGCTTCGACATTTGAGTGGTCGCCGCCTGTCTATCGCCATTTGCGGGGTCGCCGCCGCACCATAACCATCGCCCAGTCGTCGCCTCCCTCCCCGCCGTTGCCGCCACACATGCGGCACTGCAAACTCAATTGTTCTTGGTTTTCTTGCTAATTCCGTTGGCAAATAGCTCATTATCGACACCCCCCACACCCCCACCATAGCCAGTGGAAGATGAGGCAAGTTTCTTGATTTTCCTCCCCAAATTTGCTTTGTCGTTCTTTCCTCGTAGCCCAATTTCCGTTTAGGTTTCAAAACCCTATTTTTCTGTAGCCAAACACAGAGAAAACAAAATGAAAAGAAAATGACTTTTAGAAAATGGTTCATTTTCCAGAACTGATTTTCTTCCTCTCCAAACGGACCCCAAACTCCTAGCTTAAATTTCAGCAGCTCAAAATAGGAGCTGCTGCGTTCTTCGTGGCAAACGTAGACAGCGCCGTTCGGCCAAATGTCCATATGTATTATAGTGGGATCAACATTACACTCATTGTTTAGGTTTTTGAACTGAGCCCGAGTGGAACAAAGAGATTTCGGAGCATGGGAGCAAATTATGCCTCCTCGAAACCAATCTTCTTTTGCAGGGAAACTCTGAACTTGGCACTTCCCTTTCAAAGCAGAAACACAAAACTTCCAACCATTGGTGTGTCTTGTTGCTCTAGCAGATTGTCATTCTCCATGCTTACTATGATTATTATTGTGATTAAAACATTAATAGTTGGTTTCTTTGGCCGTAGGTTACAGAAATCCAGCAATAAAATGCAGTGCTCGGTTTCGGCCTTGCATTGATATACACAAGGTTTGGTCTTTCAGTTTCTGTCTGTTTATATTATTATTACTCCGTATTATTATTGTTATTGATATTGTTATTATTATTAGATTCTTTGATTTTTGAATGTTGGTGAATTCAGATTTCTGAGAGGGTTGTGTTTATGTGGTTAGTGACTTCGAATAAAAACCTTTCTGACACTTTGATAGAGTTACTCAGTGGTCAAGACTTATTTACAGGGGATAGTAAAGCAGATTGTTGGATCCACGCTGCAAGACACTAAGGATGGAGATTCAAGTCTTGTAACCAATTTCGTATCTGATAAGTCAGCTGCTGAATATGCTAAGACTTATAAAGGCGATGAGCTCACAGGCGGTCATGTAATCATGCTTGGAGCTGACCCCCTGAGCCAATCAGCAGCAATTGAAGCAATACTTGCTTATCCTGGTATTTTATTGCCTTTTTTTAAAATTAAAAAAGGATCGTATGTTCTGTTGCCGTTGATTTCATTGGGTGCCAGTAATTTTTTGAAGTTTATATCGTATTTTGTTATTTCGTTATGCTTGGCCAGATGGTTTGGTCTTGAGTCTGAATTACTTTATTTCTTGATCATTAATGCATATTTGGTGATTTTTGCATAGGTGGCTTGCAAGTCGGAGGCGGTATAAATTCATCTAATGCAGTAAGTTACATAGAAGCAGGAGCAAGCCATGCTATTGTTACCTCTGTAGGTTTCCTTTTGAATAACTTAATTTTTTCATTTTGACATTTAAATGCACCTCAAATCACGAGGATTGTCCACTTGTAATTTGCGTGCCTCTTGATGTCTGACATCTTGGGAAAGGAAAACAACTTCCTTATTTATTAAGACTTTACCCCAAGAACATGGTTGCATTGCAGTATGTATTCAAGAATGGGCAAATGGACACTGACAGACTTAAAGAGCTTGCCCAGGTTGTTGGAAAGCACAGACTTGTTCTAGATCTCAGTTGTCGTAAAAAGGTACATTACTCTTCTTATAGGCAAATTTGATGTACTACTTTGGTTTTGTTTCCTGTTGTATCATTTTTACAGAGGCACACAACTGTTTACCATTTGCTACGAAAGCTTCTGAGTTCTGCGACATATTATTAGGTCCTATGTCTTCTGAGTTTTGGTGCCTCTTTACTTGATAAGCTTAAAACTAATGAACGAACAAAATGGTATACAGGAGGGTAAGTATGTAATTGTCACGGACAGATGGCAGAAGTTTAGTGATGTGCATCTAAATCAGAAAGTGCTGGATTTTCTTGCCCGGTATGCAGATGAATTTCTAGTCCATGGAGTTGATGTTGAAGGAAAAAAGTAAGTCGTTTGAGCTCCCTCTTCTCATCGGTGTCCGATAACATTGCTTTGTCATAAGTTCGTAACAATAATCAACCGCTACGTTCTTAACTTATTGACTGAGTTTGAACCCTAGGGGCACAACACAATCCAAATGTTTGCAGGAACAAAAAAGCCAAAAACACTACATTTGCAAGGGCAAAAAAATGAAAAACACTATATTTTCAGGGACAAAAATTTTAAAACCTACATTTTTCAGCTTGAAGCATTATATTTGCTGTACAAAAACCATATTTTTGCCAATATTGTATTGCAAATAAAACAACATATTTTCCACCAAACATTTTCCATGGAAAGCATTTTCACAGAAGAACAATTTTCACAGAGAACACTATTCAAAACAATTTATTTTACAGCAATCAAACGGAGCATGAACTCTTGGGCGTCCTCTTGATTTTGATAATTCATTCTGCTGTTTGGATTTTACAGGTTGGGGATAGATGAAGAGCTTGTCACATTGCTTGGAAAACATTCCCCTGTGAGTGTCTTTATTAGAGCCAGTCTTTATTTTTGTACTGTGTCCATCCCATTATTTTATCTTAACCTTTGTCATTCTCATTACTGGCTATTTTGCTGCATCTATGAATTAAGATTCCTGTTACCTATGCTGGTGGCGTCACTACAATGGTGGATTTAGATAGGATAAAAATTGCGGGGATGGATCGTGTGGATGTTACCGTGGGAAGTGCTTTAGACATATTTGGTGGAAATTTGGCGTACAAAGATGTTGTGGCTTGGAACCGACAGCAGGAATGTGTTTGACGGTTTAATGCCCTTCCATGGTTCATCCAAATTCTGGGTTGGAAGAGCCGAATTTTGAAGTGTCTTGCAGAACTTTCTTGACGCGGTCGTACTAAGTGGAAAAAAGACAGTCAACTAGAAAGTTGAACACCCAAGGCATAAATCTAGGTGCAAAGACGCAACCTAGACGCGAGTTCTTTAGATATATTAGACTTTTTAAGGATGAGGTTAAATTATTCAGAGTAGAAACCTGTTCTTCATTTATGTTAAACTATGTAATTCAATTCATAATGACTTTTTTTTTGCAATTGCTTCTAGGATCATAGATCCCAAAAGGTTCCAAATTCCAATGCAATTGTTTTGGAAAAGTTTCAATTTCAATCTTCTTCTATGCAAACACTCCAAGCCACCGTTTGCTATAACAAATAGCACCAGTGTAAACCTAGGGTGAAAATCTGTAACAAACACCACCATATCAATGAAAGACACATTCATGCTGGCCATGGTCTTTAAAAAGAAGAAAAGTAACTTTACCCCAACAAAAAAGTACAAATGCTAAAGGATAGAAAAAAAGAGAATAATGTGGGGTAAATTTCACAAATGGTACCTGAACTTTTGCAATTGAGGGGTCCTTGGAGGTCGCCCGGATGCCACGGCCTTGCAAATCTTCACCAACTCCAATGCGATCGTGGCATCCGGGCGACCTCCAAGGACCCCTCAATTGCAAGATTTGATGAAGATTTGCAAAACCCCCAATTTTGGACCCAATTTCGAATTTTAGGGTTTTTTCGAGTAGAAAAATTCAGATTCGAGAAGTTACAGGCCAAATTAGACAAAATGGTTTGGATATTATTGATCCTCGTCTCAAGACGAAGAGAATGACATTGGTCCCGCCGGAATCGGAAAAAGTTCATTTTCCGGCGACTTTGACCGGCAGGCGGCGGCGGGGCATGGAAGAAAAGAAAAGAAGAAATGGGGTCAAATTGAAAATTTTAAAATATATAAAATTCAATTTTGACCCTAATGACCGGAAGTTAACCTAGAAACGGGCTAATGGCTCATTAGTAAAAGGATTGTGTAAGTTCAGGGATTTTTGTGAAAGGATTTGAAGTTCAGGTACCACTTCGAAATTTCAGCTAAAGTTCAGGTACCATTTGTGAAATTTACCCGAATAATGTGACAAAAAATAGAAAGTTAGTGACACTAAAAATTGGGAAAGTGAACATAATTCTGTGACAAACTTAAAAGAAGAATGGATCTAACTTATTCTAACAAATTGGAGTACTTAATAAAAGAAAATATACAAAACCACATTGGATTTAGTGTCAGATCAAGATTATAGTTTAATTTAACTGCTATCATTTTTGGGGTTCATCCCTTTTTTCCAAGGCTTGAGCTTTGCAAATTGCAAAGCTTAGAATTGTGGGGAGTTGGTTCTCACTACTCACTGTGGAGTAACAAAAATGGAATTGCTCTTTGTAAACATTTCAATGTCTATCACATGGTTAAACCTTTGCTAATAATGTTTGGGTGTAAGGATCTGGATCTGCTTAACAATATCACTCATTAGCAGTTTACCAGTCCATTAGTGTAACTTAAGATCTTATAGTGTAAAAGGATTCACATTGATCAAAATGGTGGGTACTTCATAATTGAATGAACTGTTTGGTCTTCCCATTTCCAATAAAAATGTTCATATACATCTCAACAATGAAACCATACAATTGTATGAAATGAAATAATGGGATAATTGTGACACAGAAACTTGACAGTCCTGGAGTGTCACAACAAAAAAGATGCAGGGAAAAAGTGAGGAGATCTGCTGAATGAATCTGCACCAGATGAAATGAGTTATATGCACACTTTAGTTAAGGACTCTTGTTTTGGAGTAGGTAAGCCTGCTTGGGTTGGAGCTATGAGAGGGGCAGTGATATGATAGATAGATCTAAGCTTGAATCACTGGTCTCGGGGTCGACCTGACCCGGAAAAAATGCTCCTCCCCGGTGCACTTATCTACCTTCACAACGAAGCGCCCTCTCTTCTCCATCCCCACCACACCACTCTTCTTAGCACTAGCAATTCGTGTCATCAACAACCCTTCGCCTATCGGCAACAGGCTGATCCTTAAACTGCTACTTCTCCACGATCTCTTCCCAAACGCATTGTAACCCAGCACCACAGTGTTGCACTGCCTTCCACTCCCTTGAACAGATTTGAAAATCTCCTCATGGTTCTCAAGGTTGCAGTCGATGGCTATGAAGTCCGCGTCTCTATAGTCACCCGACAGAAGCTCTTGGGCATCCCCCACGAGGAACTCAATGTTTGAGCCCAGAGAGAGTCTAGAAGCTTCTAGAAGGCCGGCTTCTGGGAGGATGCAGACGACACGGCCTCCTGTTTGGTGGGAGGCTGCGGCAAGGGCGAGGGTGATTGAGTCTGCATGACCAGAGCACGCCACCACAGTGTAGCGGGCGTTGTTCCCCGCTGCGAGAGCGGAGACAAACTCCGCTCCGTTGAGCTGGTTGGCGTCTTCTGCCCTTGCCATGTTCATTGTTCTGATGTAAGCTTTTGTGGCATTCTCAGCAGACCAGCTGCAGCTCATCTTTGTTGCCATTTCCCTTCTTTTCTTTCTTTCTTCCTCTGTGAAGCTTTCTCTAAAAAAGATGAATGCTTTGAGAGTGTAAGTGAATGAGTGTGTTTGACTGAGTGATCCACCATGAGAACAGCTTTTATATATAGACTACAAGGCTTGGGGTATGAACTGAGACAGTATCCAACTGGATTAGGTAACACAGATCAACAAGATGAGAAAAAAGAACATGCCATGTTTTCACACTGTCCTCTTATGCAACTTGCATCAGATTCAACTCAACATGGGTGCTGCTATTATATGAGCAGAAGTTTTTTGTTTTGTTTGTTGAAAAATGCTCTGTTTTAGATGCCTTTTTTTGCAGATGAATCTAGACCTGTAATAATGGACCAGTACTGGACTTCTGGTCTGTTGGAAAAAACATGTCCTCTGTACATATGAGCTGTAATGCTGTGTTTGGAAGGGACACCTTTGAACTTTTATATTGCATTGAATTAGTAAAGGGCCTTTAGTTGCTTTAAGGCAAAGCTTGATTAGGTTTAGCACCTACTTACAATCTTAAATTTCATTCATTAGTCAATAGTGTCATTACAGGAGAAAATGAAGGAAAACATGTGGGATTTTCTGTTGGGACATTGGACTTTTTGCCAATTACAACACCAAACTCACTATTATCCCAACTCGGTTGCCAGTTGGGACCAGGATATACACTAATTTATCTATGTTAAAAATGAAAAAAAAAGCACATAAACATACATGCAAGGAACAAATTATAAGGGTCCGTTTGATATACGGAATTGACGGAATTGGAATTGAATTAGAATCGAAATTCCATGGAATTCAATTCAACAGAATTGAATTCTGCCAATTCCAATTCATTTTTTGCACTATCAATTCCAAATCCACATAATTTTTGTGCTACCAAACACCAGAATTGGAATTGATGTCTTCAATTCCAATTCTATAGTTTGAATTCCGTGTACCAAACGGGGCCTAGGTAACAATTGGAGAGCATCAAGCATACAAGGCACATAAAGCACACAACAATAAGAACATGACACTATCTCCTGCCCAAGATGCATATCCAACTACTCTAATACATACTAGCTAGCTATCCGAACACTTCTAAGGTTAATGTCTAGTCACTTTCAGTTCTTCGGAGGTCTACTCTTTTTCCTACTCCTACCCATTACTAGGTGTCACCATCCCGCCGCCTAACATGCTTAAAAACACTTCAACTTCGTTTTCTGCAGCTTATTTTTCACAAGTGTCATGACTATTCGATCTTGGATAACCTCGCTCAGAACCTTATCTAACCTCGTCCGCCCACATTCACGTACTGTAACATCCGCATCTCTGCGACATTTAGTTGACGAATGAGAGCTTTCTTAACCGCCCAACTTTTTGCCCAATATAGTATAGCTGGTCTGAGTAAAAACTTGATAAAAAGTAAGAAAATTTAACGTATCATTTTGACGTAGTACATTATTTACCCTTGCGTGAAACGTTTTTTAAAAACTACTACTTAGCTCCATTGGCAAGAATGAGACTTTCTCCCAATTCAAAGTTGCGAAATGGGACCAGATAAGATGGAAGGGGTGTGTAGTGTTTTTTTCTTTTTTGGGGGAAATAGAGCACATTTATCAGTGGAATGGACAAGGAGACAAAATAATTCAAAGATGGGGGAGGCCGGGGTTAGTAAATAAATTAGGATAAAACTTTTTTGTACACCAAAAAAATGTACATCAATGTGACAAAAATCACAGTCAAAGTTTCCACTAGCTAGCACTTGTCCGGTAAAAGAAATTATTAGAATGGTGAAAATAAGAGTAGGGTCTTAATGTACACTTGACATCCAACAATGGCTGCAGTCCAATTTCCAAATTATTACTCTCTTTTTTTTGGTACTATTCCCAAAATTTAATCTTCACACGTTCTCAATGGGCAACGCGGCCACCACTCACTCACACACTTCTTCAACTTACAATCGTACTAAAAAAATCTGACTAAATTTTGTCGAAAAATAAGATATATGAAAATGCTAGGGTACACCAAAAGTGTACTTCAAACATCCCCCACCCCCTCCATCACCACACAAAAAAAGCAAGAAAAATTTAAAAAAAATAAAAAAAAAAATAAAATGAATGGTAAAGAGGAGGGTGATGTACATTTGTATCCGTTAAACAATTTAATTTTCAAGATTTGAATTTAAAATGTCAAATGATTCTTTCGAAAGATCGAGTTGGTCACTCATTCACTGTCAATACTCAATACTCACATCGTATCCTAAAGATATTTTAGACAGTTTATCATTTTTTTTGAATATGTAAAATGGATAATTATTTGTGGAATATGTAACGAAACCTCACATCTCGATCGGCATGCACACTATCAAAATGTGAGTTGTTTGTATTGAAGTATAATGAAGATAATTGGGTGAGCATCACAAAAAGATTGAGAAACAAGAAGATCAATTAAAGAGTACGATAATGAAGATATTCGACTATGTAGGGGATCGGATGAAGAGGACAAATTGAAGATATTAAGACTTAAGAGCCGTGGGGAATTAGAAACTACAGAGAATATTTCAAAATGAATCTATTGATATTAAATTTATATGAGAATTTGATATTATTTTTTGACTAAAAAAGTTAAATTGGGAAGAAATTTTCAAGACAGATTAAAAAACAAGTATGAAATGTGCACTGTTGTGTGTGAAACATACCATATGATGACATTCATATTTATAAGGAAATTTCGACCACATATGTTGTTTGTTATATAAGTGCTCGATATCCATTCGAATGTGAGATAATTAGCGGTTTGTGTGCAAATTATGGCGCCTCTTAGAGAAACATTCAAATGCCACTAATATATTCGAATGTTTAAGATTTGCTAGAAATTTAGACATTCCAATGTGTACATCAAAATTTTAGAAAGCTACAAATCATTAATTTTACGATTTAGGAAATGTCTTATGGTAGGTGGTCCATGTCATATTATGATATTGAGGTTAGTTCGATGTCAAAAAAAACTTTAGTGTATTTTAATAATTTAATATGGAACATTATTTTGCAATACAATTTTTACTAAAGAAGGAACAGTACAATTTTTACTAAAGAAGGAACGTTTTGATCAATAATATTATGTCCCCATTTGACTTAATTAATTACTCCTTCAGTCCCACAAGATCAAATTTAACTCACTTTATTTGCTTACTTTGATTATTCATTTCATAAAATAATATTGGCTTGTCATCTCTTTTTCGGTATGATTAACTTTTAATATATTTCCTCTGTTCAAAAATATTTTTCCCATTTTCCTTTTTAGTCTTCTGAACATATTGTTCTCATTTCCTTTTTAGTATACTTTTTAAATATAAATTTCAATAATACCTTTCTATTTTATTACTAATCTACTTTTTATTGTTTTTTAATAAGAAAAGGAGATTTAAAAGCTTATAGTATATGCATTTTTGGAAATTTTGCATTTTTTACTACCCCTTTGGAAGTGTGCCAAATCAACATAAGAAGAACATTCCCAGATAGAGAGAGTAGTTTTTTACCGTAGAATTTTTTAATAAAAAATTAATTTACTCCCACAATGAAATAAATTGAATTAATTTCTCAAAAAATGAATTAAAAACAAAGTCGGTTAAGTTTCGTAATGCGTAATGGGAAAATCTAGGGGAATAAAGAGAGTATCATAATTAATAAAACAACACCAAAATCATATATTTCTAAGGCGTGTTTTTTTTCTAACAGAAAAGATTTTTTAGGAGAGATGGAATACATAATAAAAGATCAAAACGCACTTTAATGTTAATTACTACTCCCTTGGTCCCCATTAGTCATTTTTATTTGTTCATCATCGATTGTCTCATCCCCTGTTTTAAGATTTAAAATAACACAATTACACACACTTACTTTATTTTTTACACTTCTCCCACATTATTTAATATACTCTACTTAATTTTATTACGGTCATTTCGGTAAACTTTCACGTTTTTTAACTCTTAAAAATCACAAGAGTTCAAAACGAGATCATCTTTGGAAGGCGGAGAGAGTAATATATTGTAATTTAATATATATATCATATATCACGACCACATGCATTATAACCAGCATCTAGCTAGGGCATGCACGTTGATTAATTTGTAGCATGCATTAAGATTCTGTTTTGTATTAAGAAGATGGATCATATATATGTATATACGACCGGGGAATGTTTGTATTTTGTGTGTGACAAGGAATCTAGGATCATCGATAATTGTTGGGACAAATCCTGACAATCTTGTGTTAATGTTTTGCAATTACATTAACCGTGACTAATACGTACCAGACAACATGTTCACGATGTTGTTAATTATTATCTATAGCTACTACAGTACTACCCCTAATATTAATTAGGATTAACCATGATTGAATTGGCGTCATTTTCGGATAAAAATATATTGGAGTTATTGATATGAATTGAATGAACTACTACGCCCCCTTTATTACAGTAGGTCCGATTGGAAAATTTGAGCCAAATGAACTAATGTTATTCAAACTATATAAAAATGATACTCCATCTGTCTCATAAAATATTTCTTGTTCAGATTTTAAAAATTACCCTAAATAAGACTAAAACATAGAAAAAATATAAAAATAGATTTTCCATATTTCCATACAAAAATAGATTTTCCATAATGTGAAGGTAATGTGGCACTGTAAACGTACACATTACTATACTTTTGATAATATACATGACCACGTTTGGTAATGTAAATACATTTTAACTCATATTTTGGAAATAAAAATATGGAAATCCTTTTTTGGTATATTTTCAATATTTTACTCCTACTTTAGTCTTTTTCACTTTTGAATTTTAAGTGATCGGAATTAAGATGAGTGTATTTTAGTGTTAACTTTCCAGAAATGCTCTTGATTGATAGGTAAAAGTAGGTGTGATGGGTAAATTAGCAATAAAAAAGTACAATGTGATAGGTATGTTAAGAATTAGTAGAGGTAAAAGTGACTTTTTAACAGAAATGAGAAAAGTTTTTTGGTACGGATGAAAAAAGAAATGAGAAAGATTTTGTGGGATGGATCGGAGGGATTATTAGATATTGATACA